CTATTCAGCTCCCTTCATCCCTACAATCCTCCACGAAGGTTAAAACGGCAGTGGCCCAGAGATCTCTTGTAAATATGCTTCTGGAGTCCTGGCAATGGCCAGCATCTTCACTCATGTCCTGATCGTCTGTGGCTCTAGTGCCCTCTTTCAGTCTCCACTAGCTTCTAATATTAGTGATGCGGCTGGAAAAGTGGCACTGGGATCTCCTGGAGTCTTGCCCTGCCTTCCACATATGGGGGAAAAAGCCTGGCTCGGAGATTCCTGGGCGAATGTATATATTGTATATAGGTATGATTGTGTTTAGAAGTTTCTATTTTATGTTATTTGTTTACTTTTTTTAAATTTTATTTACTTTATTCATCAGTATTATTTATTTACTTTTTATATTTATATTTATTTCTCTATTATGTGTATATATTGTATGAATGAGAACTCTTAGCCCTAATACTTATAGCCCTCCAGCAGTGTCTGATTGTATTATTATTCAATAAATAGATTAAAAAAAAGTTAATAACAAAGTGCAGTTAGGATCTAATATCTTGTAAATCGTAACATTTGACACTAATAAGGTTTTTCGGGGGGGATTAGTGTCGCGAGAATATTTATTTGTCGAAACAAATGAAGACTCACGGAGCTAACGGTGGGTGTCAAAGAAGTTCGATACCGTCAGGATTATTAATTTTTACTTGATGTTTCGAGAAGTATGCGGCCGGTTAGCGCGTAGATGGTGACACTCCGTGGCTTTAGAGTGACTTCACACTCCTTGGTAAAATCACGAGTACTTGGGGATGGATTTGATCCTACAGCTTGCTGAAGAACCTCATTAATCTCTTGTGATGGTTGCCCTGAGCCCTTCTTGCTTTCCAAGGTCCTATCTCCACTGAAAAAGTTTTGAAACCAACCATATGCAGTATAACAGGTATGCTCGTCAAGGACATCTTCTCCTCCAGTTTTGTTGATTTCAAGAGCCGTTTCAGCAGCTGAACTAGATTTTTTTTCCAATAAAGTCTAAAAATAACAGAGATTTCGTACTGCGTGTCATGCAGCTTTTTCAATAAAAACGTAATACGTTTTTGGTAAACAATAAAGAGGACTGACATGTTTTCAGACTTTGGGATTCATTGGGATTCAACCAAACACTAATTTATATATATATATATATATATATATATATATAAGATAAGGACAGGAGTCGGGCAGTATCAGCCTTAATACCTTCCTGGTATGTAAACAGAGCTCTAAAGTGTATATAAGAAGGATTACTTCACAAATAAAACAGTATTGTTTCTGAAGCCGTGTGAGTCATTTAACAGCCCCTTTTCTCCTTTTTTTTTATCATTTGATTTCAAAGTCGCATAAGTTATATATATATATATATATATATATATATATACATACATATATACATACGGTCTATTATAAAAAATTAAAAAATCCTTAGACGGATCTTCGGATCAGAGAATAAGGGCAAACAAGGAAGTATGCCGGCTTTATCAGGAACTAGCAGCGTCCAAGTGCATAAAAGTTCATTAGTGCAAATTAGCGAAAAAATTTTAATTATAATAAGATTTCTACTGTTTATTACTCCTAAAATTGATGTCTTGAGGTTTTATTTGTTATATAAATTAGGCCATTATTCACCAACATTTTATTTATTAGCTATTTTATTACGACGTTTCGACCATCACTAGGGCCATTTTCAAAGCTTACTCAGTCCCTCCAGAAATGACGTGGGGGAAACTCTTAAATAGCAGGACAATTTAATTTTTCACTGAACAAATTAATAGGACATTAATAATGAATATCTAATGGAGGACTCGTTAAGACTTGGAAATGGCCCTAGTTGTGGTCGTAAACGTCGTAATAAAATAGCTAATAAATAAAATGTTGGTGAATAATGGCTTATTTATATAACAAATATAATAAGATTGTTTGCTTTTGAATGTCTTTAACGGCGGTAATAGTTCTATAATACTATAGTAAAAAATAATAGTAAAGTTTAAACCAATTGTATTAAAACAGAAACAAAATTATGATATGGAAATTTTTAAAAAATTGTTGCTAAACTCAAAGGTATGCAGCCTCCGAACCCGATTATTACGTTACCACATCTCTAGCCAAGGCCGATTGGACCTTTCTTTTGGAACACAGAATGAAAATTGAGGGTCGATCAACATTTATGTCATTATATTTAATAATTTTCAGGAGGCTTAAGAACAGTGAAAATACAATAAATATTTTTTCTCCACCAACACTTTGAAAATATAGATAGAATTCACAGAAATGAAATGTACTGAAATTACAGCTTAGTTCATAAAACCAATTATTTAAATAACTTTATAATTATTTTTTAAATCGATTCATCCTTGGCCTCAGTGGTTTATTCTTCGTTTTGGTTCATCTTATAATTATATATTTATATCTAATAGCTGCTCGGTCAGGTATTTTATCAATATTTTATTTTATCAATATTTTATAATAATCAATAATCAATCGTTAATAAATTTTGAGGAAGCGGATTATTATTTTTTTACTCGGTCGATTTACCTAGCTCATTATTAAAATAACAAACCATAATATAAATAAAAAATTTCTTTAATAATTGTCAGATGTAGATAATTTGTTTTTTCTCCCTGTACAGTAATAAATATTTCAGATTAACTGTATACTTTTTGAGTTATGCGCAGAAAATATATATATATATTTTTCATTTTTTTCCCTGGTTTTCTTTCTGGGTAATTCATATATTTTCGGCAATCGCACCAAAACAACATCTCAATTTTTGGATTCAATGAAGTATAAGATAGGGCATATAGACAAAAAATTTATATGAATATTAGTTATAATATTCATATATTCATAAATATGATTGTTCTCAGAAGATTGAACACAATGAATATGTTTATGTTGCGCAGTAGAAAAAAATAATCTAAAATCGAGTTGCAAAACAATATGGTTAGGAATTTTCTAATTATTTTATGATTTTCCAACAAAAAAATTATTCATGTCTGATGTATAAAAAACATTTATATATCAGACATGAATACTTACCAGTAACATTTAAACAGAATGACCCTCTTTTTGCTTATGTACACATTTTTTAGTGTAACTTAAACTTTAACTTTAGTTTCATTACAACGATAAAAAATTTATATTAAAACAAAATAAACGTGAAAAGTTCAAGAAGTTATATTTTACATTTAAAATAATAATATACCTTTAAGGTAACATACTCAGAATCTTGAAATATATTTAATTAGTAGTATAACATAGGCATAACATAGGTATAACATAGGCGGATCTACGGTGGAGGGCTTTCGGACTGAAGACCTTTCTAAAATGGTAATATGTAGGCGATCTATGCCAAATACTTAAGCAATGACAAAATATTATGCTTTTAAATTATAATGTATATAAAAATACTACATTTAAGTAACCAATTGCCTCAAAGGACTAGAAACCGCCCGACGTTTTCGACTACTGTAGCACTTACTAGACAAACACTAAACTTCCAACTATTTACAAAAGACTCATATATATTATTATAATTAGGCCTATTTGGACTTACGGGATCGAGCTTTGGGGCTCTACTAAACCATCAAATTCCTCTCTATCCAATCCCTACAATCCAAAATCTGTCGTAAAATCCTCAATGCTCCATACTTTGTCAAAAATAAAATCATACATAACGACCTTAATGTACCATACGTTTCCGATTTAGCTCAATCTAGATACCTTTCCTTCCATAATAAACTTCTGAGCCATCCGAACCCTCTCGTTTCCAATCTTGCTTCCTATTCTATTCCTGATAACCCTCCGAGGCGCCTGAAAAGAAGATGGCCTCGGGATCTTCTAACATAGAAATATAATTGGAATCCTACCAATTGGTAGTTTCTCTTCATGTTGTACATGTTATGTTACTTGTTGTATTTATCATTCAATGCAGTTGAAAATTTCAATAATAAACATTAAAAAAAAAAAGGAAATACATGGCAAGAAAAATTTTACCCTATAGGCTTAATTTTTCCTATTTTTTTCACCACATCACTTCATATAGCTAGTTTTTCCTCTCTTTTTCTTCTAGAGTGATTCTCGTTTAAAAAAACGCTACTCACTATAAATAAAAAAGAAGGCATATGACGACACTATTTCAAAATCATAATACCACAAGGAAAATAAATTTAGGTAAAAACGTAAGAAGATTCCATGATATCCTAAACTAAACATTAGTTGATTAGAAAAATTGAATTCGTATTATTTTGATATCTTACCTCCTATTTATTAATTTTTTTTTGTAAAATTATGGAATTAAAGAAATTGACAAAACACTAATCGATATCTGTAAATCACACCTTTATTCTTCCATTTGCCTAATGGTGAGGTCATTATCACTAATTATTTGCTTAATTATTCAAGAGAAAGTCGTGAATTTATGAAAATTTCTATTCCTTCGTCATTCTCATTTCAAGATAATGAGGTTCACGAAGGCTCCCAAAGTTATAGAAAAATTCAATTTTTTTTCTTCGAAATTACACGGCTGTTCATATATTAAGAAAAAACTTTTTACTTATTTTTTAAAAATTAGTACGTTAAGTAAATCTGTACGTTAAGGAAAACTAGAGGCAAGCTATTTTGTCAAATTTGTACTCTAGTGACATCTACTTATAAGTAGCATATATAGAAAATGAATTCAAATTTGAGTTTTTTTACAAAAAGTTTCTAAGAAACTGTTTGGAAGGAGCTGGACTTTTAAGTAGATTTTTTTTATTTCGATGTTTTTTATTTTATCGATGATATATATATATATATATATATATATATATATTATATATATATATATATATATATATATATATATATATATATATATGTGCATAAAAATTACACAAATCTTATTATATTTCACACTGACTGTTAGTGGACACTATTCTGATTTTGCTGTGGGGAAATTCATCAAATAACTTTATTTGAATTGATTTAATATTATAAAATTTTATTTAATGGCTTTTAAGTATAGGCAGACGATATCGCTCGCCTTTCTATTTAAACATAAAGGACCATTCGCAAACCTTGTAGTTTTGATTTTGCATCAAACCAAAGGCTTTGATAACATTTATAGTAACTCTTTTTATTTACACCTAATATTTTTCAAATACTTGCTTAGAACCGTGTCGATAGGTCTATTGGTAATAATATTAGATTCAGTCGTAGAAACTTTTGTTAATATCTCGCGATAAACTTTTAAATAGAACAACGCTTTTGCTTGAAATAAGGTTAACTATATTTTCCTGCTAGGCGGTTTAAAAAGGTAGAAGAAAAAGATAAAGTTTTTTTTTTTTTTTTTTAAAAAAGGCTCAGATATTGTGTATAAAAATTATGAATTAACATGATTATTATAAAATGAACAATATAATACTATATAAAAAAAATGCTTATACGTATATATATGTTTATACAATATATTAGCTTGTTTTTTGCGTATGGATTATGGGTATATTTGAAAATATATCAACAAAGAAATTGAATATGTTACACATTTTTAATTTTATTTAATGGAATGAAAAGAACTCTAAATTCTCAGATGCTTCAAATTTGCCACGAGAAATGCGATAAAATCTTCATATAAAAATGGAAGGGTACACATGAATCAATCATAAGATCCTAGGATACGTTGCTACATATGTATTGAATATAAATTAAAATTTGTAATAATATAGATATAGGACGCGGTAAAATACTTGCTTACCTATTTTTAGCACTTTGTTTAGCCATCCAATCGGCTTTTCCTTTTAACGTAATTGGTTTCAGTTTATATATTTTATTCATTCATGTAAATCAATTATTATAAATTTTGATTTTAATTTTATTATTCGAAATATTGGTGAGGAGGGGGGCGAAACTAAATTCTCGTCCCCCTCTATTTTTATTGGGGCGGTGATCACCCCCCTCGTCCTCCCAAAGTCTACATCTATGTAGCCATACAAATATTAACAATAAAAATATTTTTCATTATGTAGGTTTGACTTTTGTTTATTATGCATTTATCTAACTTGCCTAATGGTCAGAATAAATTTATCCAGAAATGTTAGTAACATATTGTTAATTGGAAAACAAAATAACAATGAATCACAAACGAAAACGTCAATAAAACATTGGTTATTAAGTCAATGGTAATATGTTTGTGTATATTAAGCTTAAATTTATCAATATTTTCTTTCCCTTATTTCAAATATAAAAATTGTAAAACTAGATATTTTTTAGCTGCTGATAAACTTTATAAATTTTTCTCTATCCAACCAATAAACTTTTCATCTCTCTCTTATTTAGTAACCGTAAATGTGGGGAGTTAATTTAAAAATGCTATACACGTTCAGTCGGAAAGTGCACTTTGTATGTACACACACTAATGAGTGTATTAATAATAACAATTGAATGACATTACCTCGAACAAAAAAAAAATATATGAAAAAAGAAAAAACAAAAGGAAGAAACAACAAATATTTAACAAAAAAAAAAAAAAAAAACGCTGTAAATGATTTCACAATGGTTTATTATTTCCAAACAATTATACATCTAAAGTAACATTACCTTCCGAGTTACAAAGAAAAAAAAAAACAAAAGGTGATTCCAATTATTGGACTAAACTGTTTTTCTTTAATCATTAGTAATATGCTAAAAAAATAGCATTATTTCAGTAACACATTTAAAATTTAAAAACCAAACCAAGGATATAACATTTGGAGTAGAACACATAAAAACAAACCAGAGACCATATCTTTGCTCCTAATTGTCCGATTTTAACGATTTTTTTTTGTTTTATAGGAAATTTCATAAAATTTTAAGAAATTATATACAATAACAACAAAAAAGTAAAAACTTTTCGAGTTATTCGGAATTTAATTTTAACATCCCTCGTAACTTTTTTTCCAGCTTTTTTTCGTTGAAGTATGTTATATAGATAAATTTAAAGGGCGTCGAGAAAATGACTTAAGCGAAGTTTCATTGAAATCTGTACATTCGTTTAGGTGCTACAGTCTATAGCAACGCAGGTTTTTCGGCCGCCATTTTGAAAGTTCAAGGCGGAGAGTAATGTCGATGCAGGAGGATCATCCTCGGGTGACCTCTGATTATATATCAAAATTTGAAAAAAATCGGTCCAGTAGTTTCGGAGAAAATGCGCGGCCGGCGGACGGACAAAAAAATTTTTATTCGTTTTTCGAATTCTACGCATCTTGGAACGTGAAACCTCAAATTTTGAGAGGGGATTATGTTTTTGAATTTTTCAGTCGATCACAATGTTTCATTTTTGAAAATAATAAACCAAAATCAAATAATGTAGTCTTACAATTAACTTTAATGCTGCAATTTGTTCTCATTCAAAAATTCCGAATCAATTTTGTTCATTTAAAAACGAAATCTGATTGTATTCATTGAGTTAATCATGACATCTTGCCGCAGCATCTCACCTTAGCATTAAGTCGTAGATTAAATAATCAAGATTAAATTTTTTGTTATCGATTGCATATATCTAACTTGTCTAAATCACATCCCATACTGCACATTTATTAATAAATTAATATTTTTAATTTAAAATTTTGTTTATCATGTTAATATAATAATATGTTAATAATAAAATCATGTTCTGTAAGAATTTGAGTTAATAAGCAATGAATACATAAAATTAAGTAAAAAAATATTTCGTCAATAATTATGTCTTCTCTTCAACCACAAAACCTATGTGTTTGTCTTTTGCAATCCTCAGTTTGAACCACATGAGAAACCACAAAACGTTGAGCTACTCGGGGTAGATGCAGTGATTAAATATAATTAAAACACCACGCTTGTAGTAATGTTGCCTTACGATCTATGATCGCCGGAACTAAGATTCTTATCTTCCTTTGAGTATCCACCATTGAATCCAAGGGCTCACCGAAATTATATTCTTTCAGATGAGACGATAATATTACAATCATGAATTGACTTGATTAGCGTCAAAACAAAGGAGAGGGGCCAAACCGCAAAACAGAGAAACTACGTATTGCCATACAATTAAATGGTTTGAAGATTTAATAGATGTTAGGAAAAATATTCCATCAAACAGTTTTGAAACCTGAGAGATTTTATTTATTCATTTTCATTAGTAAAAAAAATCTGATTTATATATCGTTAGATAAACAACCCATAAAAAAAAGTCATAAAATAAAAATAAATAATCATAATAACGAGATGTTTGAATTTAAAAAAAATAAATGATTCTTAATCAGTTATAAATAATGGATTATACAACAGTGCCAACGAATTACGAACTACATTCATTGTAACTTGATTCGTTGGCATTTTTAATAAAGTGCTAAAAATTGAATAGTTTTCAAAAAGTCAAACGAAAGTGATCTTAAGAATGTACAAAGAGTTGGGGATACACTTTATTATCTTAATTATTATTAGCGGAAATTATTCCTACCATTTATGTCTCAGCATAGTATAGTGTACTGAGGAATGCTTCGCATGTGAACCATATAAAAAATACAAATAAAAAAATATATTTTTTTTAATCAATCATTCGCTAAACCACACATTTCAGGTGACAAAAAGAGGAGCCACAGTTTGTGGAGTGGAAGTATTGTACAAAAACTGACAGCATAATTCATTGCTTTCTTATGTAACCATACAAAATAAAGATATTAAATATTTAATAAAATATTTATTTGTCATTTTGATAAAATTTTGATCCAAAATAAGAATTAAATCTTCATCTTTCCTTCATTGCATATAATATATATACATATATAATATATGCCATGATAATTTTTTTTTTTTTCTGGTTTCATCCATCTATAGACTTTATACTCGGTCAACAGATAGATGAAACTAGAAACGAATGAAATAAATAATAAATAAAATTCACCATGAGCCACTTGGATGAATACAGAAATATCTTTAGATAATATATTCGAAACCAGATACTGATTCGAATTCGGAACTATATACAGATTCGAATTCGAATGTACAGCCATAGATTCGAAATAAGCTAGATCCTGAACGTCCTGAATTTCATCAATTTGATTCTAAAGGTATAGTTCAATATTTTTCTAATTTTGCAAAAAAAGTTCCTTAAAATAAGGAAAAACTATTTATGTGTACATATTTCTATATTTTAATGTTATATGTTTTTTCATATAATTGGACACTGATGATGGAGATCTTCTAAATGTCGGGGTTTAAATCTTTTATTAATAAAATGATACTATATGGAAATATTTTTCACTAAATATATATAATATTTTAATTTGATTTTTGTTCAATGTTAAAAATTTGTCCTTTTTATTTATTTTTTTTCCTTTGTAGAATATAAGAAAATAACTATTGTATTAATTTCTTTAATTTTATAACTTTAATTATTCAAGGAAGTTAGTCCACTGTTCTACATATCATGGGTGATAAATATTCAATATGCAGTCATTAAAAGGTTTTTATTAGTGCCGACGTTTAAACCCAAACATGTGGGTCATCTACGCTACACTAGTACACTAATAAAAACCTTATAATGACTGCATCCTGAATATTTATGATCTATAATTTTAATTATTTTTTTTTTCAGTCAATTGCATACATACACATTTTTTTTTCTAATCAGATTTTCATTTATATTTCTATACACATTTATTTGAAGTATTTTTAGGTCAACGTTCCGATAATATTTATGAATATCTGATAAATTTGTGATAAAGCTATTAATCAAAATATCTCTTTAGTTAGCTTTTGAATCTTGTAAACTGGGTAATTCGTTTTCTCAGCTTATACCACAGGTGATCAAAAGGGCTTTAATTGCTGTTAGTATTTCACTCCTGTAAACATCGGATGTAAGCGTTTTCTATTTAAATTTTGGGCTAGATTTGGCACTGTTTTGTTTTTTCTACATCTTAGCGCACATACATGTAGTGTTGGCCTTATACGTCTTGGTCTTGCCCCCTCAGTCTTGCTCTTGGTCTTGGTTTTGCGTAAGAGTCTTGCAACAATCTTGCAGTTACTTATTAGCCTATTGATTTAGAGATATTACTGTAATTTTTCAGAAATGGGAAACCTAACTAAGCCCGAATGAAAAATTGGAACAGTTAAATGCAAAATTATATTAGTTATACCAAGTCTTTACATATAGTATCTAAAATTGTCAAGCGTTAGTAACTATTTTGCCTTAATTTTTATTCACAAAACGATATTTTTTTACTAGTCCTGGTCT